TTCTTCAGCGATGTCTGCTCGGATTCCAGAATTCCCTTCCTCATCAGGAGAACCCGAGGTCGGGGCGTCACCACCAGCCCTAAGACCGCTATCCCTGATAGTAGAGGAAAAATCCTTTTCACCTACACTATTTGCACCGCTGTTGACACTTTCCATGCTACCCTGTTGTGCCCTGAAGGACTCAGTAGGCGACGAGGACGAAGTAGTACCCAGTGCTGGCTCTTCTTCCACAGGGACAATGCCCATTCCAACACCAGACCCTTCACTGTTTCCAGCCATCCCAGTCTTCTTCGGCAACACCCATTGGGTTTCTCCCGTGTCTAAGCAGTAAAGATATTCTCTCCCATCCTCGTGAAAATGGCGTTCCCATGTCTTCCCATCGCAGTCGATGATTGGAAGGTCAGCAGCTTGAGACACTTTGCCTCCACCATCAGCGTATAAGTCTTCATCTGACTCCTGCTGTATTCTCGCTGCCTCCAATTCCAGGATTTCTCCTTCGCTCATCACCATAGCAACAGGAACGACTCCTTCTGCGTCCCCAACAACGAGGATACTGCCTTTTGTCGCAGCAACAGGCGCAGTTTCTTCCGCTTCACCTGTCAACAGATCACCACTTTCAGCCGCGAAGCTCACTTTGTTGCGAGCTCGCTGGGAAACAGGGATAACATCCCCAACCAGTTCTGTCTGGCACCCTTGCTCCACCATCTTTGACGTAGAGGAGCTTGTTGTTGGCGCTCCCGTTGATTCAGCAGATTCCGCAGCTCGAAGAAGATGCCCATGTTTGCTCAGAAGGCGCAGCAAAACTGCTTCCACCTGGTCTTCCAGTCCTTCCACCACCGGCTTCTCTTCGCCACGCATACCACCAACGTCAACCAGAGCTTCCACATTGGGAACAACTTTTTCACCCGTTGCAGACCTTTTGACACCACCTTCACCTTGGTCGCCCACATTGGAGCTCGATGATGCCGCACCAGTCCGTAACCAGTTGGTCGCCATGGCTTCAAACTTCCACCCTAAAGCCGAAACACAAACCGCAGGGAACCTAATTTGGGCTCATAACCTACGGGGGGCAACCAAAGGGGGACAGGGAACAAGATAGTCAACCCCAACAGAAGCCCTTGATCCCCTGGACCAACAAACAACAAACCAACCCAAAACCAACACACACTTCTTTCTTCAGGGCGCATGCCCAAGTTCCTTGAGCCAAAAAATTTGTACCGGGTACATTGACCCCTTCACCTTTCAACATCAACTCCTTTCTACAATACCAACTGCAGCTCCGCACCCTAAACCCCCCTCCCCCTGAAGTCGAGTCCGAGGAGCCTCGGGGTGTGCCTGGGGCCTTTCATCAGCTCCTCGGCGAGCTTTCGGACCTTGTTTGGGGTTTAGGGTGTATAGGGTTTATATAGGGTCTGCAGGGTTTGATTGCAGGGTATAGGGAGGGTGTATAGGATTAAAAGCAGGAGTTTATAGTTTATAAGGTAGAAAAAGGATTCAAAAAAAGGAGCAGTGATGCACCGGTGCTGGCCTGTCAGAGAGCCGGGGTTAGAAGGTCTTGTAACGGTTGCAAGGGTCTGTCAGGTGTATAAGGTTTATAAGGCTTGCAAGGTTTGTAAGGTTTATCAGGGTTCTTGAGGGGTTGAGGGTTGGGCTACAGGCTCTCATTGCTTTCCAATGGTTGTATTTGGCGGGTCGGGTGAGGACGGAGCAGGGGCCGTCAGGGGCCTTGTTGGACCCGAGGCTTGCGGAGATTGGCGAAGAGCCCTGTCATTTAGGGCTCTGGGTTCAGGGTTTAGGGATCAGGGGAGCCCTCTACACCCCGAAGCTTTACAAACCTTACCATGGGACATGCACCTTGCGGGTGTGGAGACGCAGCTGAGTTGACATGGGGTAGCACTCGGGTGTTTCGAGGGCTTGCCTTCTGAAAGCCTGCAACCGAAACTTGAACGTACGCTCTGACACTTACATTGGTGGGACCCCTGGCCATTAAAGGCTCTATCCTCCTGACCTTTGGGCACTACCAGCCCACTCAGGCCGCCCTGGCTGCATCTAGATCCGGGTGCTTCAAAAACCTGGGATTTAGGGGAACCCTTTTGCGGATTTCACTATGGGGACCCGTTTCACCATGTGTTTTCGCTTACTGACGGACTCTTGTTGTGGGCACCCGGTTGCGCATCTTTTACGTCAGGATCTCTGATTTGGGTGTAAACAGGCGCCTAAGGACACATCTAGAGGGGTGTCTTGGACCCAACACATCATTCAGAGAGCCACTGGCTCAACAAACCCAAAACCTGAAACCCTAAACAAAAAACAACCTCCCCAAACCCCTTCTTAGACCCGGGCCCCTTTATCGCCCCATGGGAGCTTAGCCATTAATGATAATTAATGCCCTAAACCCTAAACCCCAAGCCCCACACCCCAAACCCCAAACCCCTAACCCCAAACCCCAAAGCCCCAACCCCAAACCCCAAGCCCCAAGCCCCAAACCCCAAACCCCAAACCCCAAACCCTAAACCTTAAACCCTAAACCCAAACCCCAAACCCCAAACCCCAAACCCCTAAACCCTAAACCCTAAACCCTAAACCCTAAACCCTAAACCCTAAACCCTAAACCCTAAACCCTAAACCCTAAACCCTAAACCCTAAACCCTAAACCCTAAACCCTAAACCCTAGCCCAGGCCTGCCTCGCGGGGGCCCGAGCCTTGCAGCTGCTGCTTTGCTGCATCTCCGCCTCTTAGGGTTTAGGGTTTAGGGTTTAGGGTTTAGGGTTTAGGGTTTAGGGTTTAGGGTTTAGGGTTTAGGGTTTAGGGTTTGGGGTATTGATGATAAGGGTTGAGGGTTTAGGGTTTAGGGTTTTAGGGTTTGGGGTTTAGGGTTTAGGTTATTAATGATCAGGGTTTAGGGTTTAGGGTATTAATGGCAACTCATGGTTCTTTATCATCGTAGTGGTTCGTGCTCGGGGTTGGCATGCCTCTTTTTTTGCATGGTTCTTACGTGGCTTTTTTTGGTTTCCATGTAGGGAGGCTCCCGTGACGAAAGCTGAGGATGGCCTTGCTTTGGTCCTGCGAGACCATGCTGGCCGCTGGCCTACTGCCGCGGGAGCTTGAAGGCTTGCACTCCCCGAGTGTGCTGGGCCCTATCGTTGTGTTACATTTCTATGATTCTTTGTTATTGCTATTGTATGAAAAAAAAAATATATATATAAGAAACATGTATGTATATATATATACATATAAGAGAACCTTTACCACCTTTGTTTCGGGGTGCTTGTATCTCACGTATAACTATCCAGGAACCTCTGAGTAGGAATGCGGGGAAGGTGGGCTTTTCGGGTTTTCAATGGAAGGCCGGACGTTGAGACTGGCAGGCCATGGAAGGCTTGATGGGCTAGGGTTTAGGGTTTAGGGTTTAGGGTTTAGGTTTTAGGGTTTAGGGTTTAGGGTTTAGGGTTTAGGGTTTATATAATTATAGGGTTTAGGGTTTAGCGGGGGTGTGATGCAGGCGTAGTGAGGGATTTTGGATGAAGCCGGGTTCTAGCTGCGCGGTGTGGCAAGTCGTGATTGTTTGGTTTATGTAACTTGAAATCGAAAAGGTTGTAAGTCTTATATTACGCACCGTAAAACAAGGTCATAGTAGAGGTTTGATTGCGTATGACCTTGCCGACGCCCTCTACCCAACAACCTCCAACCTAAACCCTAAACCCAGTAGCATGACCTGGCTGCAAGGAGACCAGAATCTGAAGGGAGGCTACTGCATCCCAGAGGAAGCCAGAAATTTCCATCCTTCCGAAGGAATTTTAATCTCAAACCCTAAACCCTAAGCGCTAAGCCCTAAACCCTAAACCCTAAGAAATAAACGCAAAAAGAGTTTAGGGATTTTGGTTTGGCTGCACGCCACGCCGTAGGCTCCAACGACGACAGCCACACCCGAGCGCAGGATCGTGTGGATTCCCAGATCGTCGAGGACTTTCTTGGGAGCTGCATATTTTCCGGTTTGGCCCATTTGGGGTTTGGGGCAAATTTGCAGCTCCGGATCGGACTTAGGGTTTAGGGTTTAGGGTTTGGGGTTTAGGGTTTAGGGTTTAGGGTCTGGGGTCTGGGGTCTAGGGTTTAGGGTTTAGGGTTTAGTAGGGCCAGACAACCCACACGCAACACCACCCCTCTGAAGGCGGGTAAACGGCCTTGGCCCCGAATCAATGGACACTGATGTATTAGCGGGTTTCCCGACTACCCCCCTCTTTACTACCCCGCCCAGGTTCCCCGGTAGCATAGAGGGGGGTAGTAGGGAAACCCGCTAATGTAGCACCCCCTGAATGTCGAACTTCTCTGATCTCAACTTTTGTTTCGGGGTGCTACCGTGCAAATTTCCAAAAAATGTCGTTTGAAGGAGCTTCCACTTTGGCTTCGCAAAACCTTGGTCGGGCTTACGATTCTGTGTCCCGGACTTTACGGCGGCTCAGGGACGACTCATTGGTGACTCCCTAAACCCTAAACCCTAAACTCTCAACCCTTGTTGAAGCCGACAGGTTTAGGACCGCAGGACTGCCACGGAGCAGCACATGTTGGGTTTCAGAGTTGGTATCCGCTCCCAGCGCATGACCAAAGAGCGTAGTGCCACGAGAGCTTTGTGTTTCTTCCTAGGGATTAGGGCTTACGGCACCACAGCATGTAACTCTGTGTTGGCTCATCCCTTCAAAGGCATAGTGGTGCATTCAGGCATGTCCGTGTGTCCTTTTCGTGGAAGTATCTTTTCTTATCCGGCGACGATTCGGTGAATCAATTGCAGCTGCGATCCGATTGCCGAAGTCAGGTGAGGGCAGCGATGAATACCGTAGGGCTCCTGTTACTGGCGAGCTTTCGGCCAACATGGTGTAGGGTATTTCAGGTAGTTATTCGTAGGATTGTGCTTATGTAAGTAAACATCTTTGTTAATACTCAATATGTTCTGAGTGCCCCGGGCTGGAGGCTAGAGGAGGTCGGGCTTCTGCTTGGAACGCTGTATGAGGTTCTCTGCTTGGCGCTCTCTGGGCATCTCAGCCATCGAGGTGGGGGGTTGGGATGGGCTTTTTGGGGGCTTCTTGTGCCCCATTTAGGAAAGGTAAACCTTCAGTACATGTGAGACCCCAGATTCAGGAAGCGATCAGAAACAACTTGTGTGGGAGCTTTGACGAGATAGTTTGTTCCGTCAAGCGTAAGTGTCAGCAATCTGTGGAAAACGGGCGGCAAGCAAGCCCAAAACGCAGGGGCCAAAGCCATGAAGGTTGCAGCTACTGTTTTTTGTAGGAAATTCGGCCAGCGTGGGTGTGCTCCGTGATGTAGATGTAGCCTCCACATGGAGTTAAGGGAGTGAGACGGCCTGACAGGCGCTATAGTACTCCTTCTCAGACCCAATGCCTGGAGGGTCTGGGTCCGGGTGGGTGGGTGGGTGTGGCTAGGAACCCAAAGAAAAGAAGATAGCTACATGTAGATGCAAAAAATAAATAAACATGAAAAAATCTACAATATATATATATATATACATATACATATACATCTTACTCACATACATAACCGCGGGAGTCCCTACTCTTAGAGCCAAGTAAACAAGCAAGGGGCGCTTGGGCTGCCAGGTGGCTACTGCCTTGCTCCTCGAGGCTCAGTATGGCTGGACGCCGGCCACCCGGATGTGAAAACGGTTCAGGGTTTGGGGTTTAGGGTTTAGGGTTTAGGGTTCAAGGACCGGGCAATGGCTGGGGGGTACCGATGGATGTAAAAACAAACGACTCAAGCACTCTTCGCTGCAAAGATCCATCGCAAACAAAGAGCGTGCCTAAACCTAGTATTGGTATGAGTATCTTGGGTAGTGTATACATCATATTCTTGCAGGGATTGCTCGGGGCACCTTGGACCTTGGAGACCTTGGACCTTGGAGACCTTGGACCTTGGAGACCTTGGACCTTGGACCTTGCTTGGACCTTGGACCTTGGACCTTGGACCTTGGACCTTGAAACCAGCCCTGTGGTCAATTTCCAGGTCCGCGAACTTTAGCGAGCCAGGCTCCTTCCGCAGCCCCTACCAGTAGGCATAGGCCCTGGAGAGTCCAGCCAGGAAAAAATTGGCTATGCCTTGGGGTTCGTCTTCGCCCTGACGGCATCTACAGGCACGTGGGTCTTGATCCCAAAGGGCCCTTTTGGGGGTATCCGCTGTGGTACACGTATGCTTTGTAGTTTGGTCTCTGCTGCCGGTAGAAGGTGGGTATGCAAGGGGGCATGGATGAACCAAGGACATGGCGGTGACAGACCACTCATGCAGCATTCACAGCAATCTCTTCAATGTCAGCTCTCATAGGTAGCAATCTGAACCCAGCAACATTCTTGCTACTGTAGAGCAGTCCTCCGCCAGGGCTACTGGTTGCCCTGCTGCGGAATACCTTACTGCGCCCTGGGCCACAAGCATGTCCCCACGAAAGCGTTTGTCGTTCCATTTCTCGTGGTTTAAAGCCGGATGAATATCACATGCTTCTTTTCACTATTGTCACGCAACGAGCCACAGGTCCCACACCTGCATACACCTGCTAGATCTTCTGATCTGATATACTTCTGCCTGGCACGTGTACGTATCAGCTGCTTCTACTTCGAAGCTTGCCCGATCCTTCTTCAAATTGTTATTTCATGCAATAACACTAATACCCTCAACCCTAAAACCCAAGGTCCGAGTACGTGTTAATGTTCACGCTGGCTTTCTTCAGCATTGTGGGCTCGGCGCTCTTCTTTGACTTCGGCGGCTTGGAGCCGCTGGGGCCGACAGAGTTCCGATTTCCCCATGGTGGCAGAATTTGTGCATTGTTTTAGGCCATCATCAACTCCATAGGGTTTAGGGTTTAGGGTTTAGGGTTTAGGGTTTAGGGTTTAAGGTTCAGGTTGGGCTAGGCCATGACTGCTCGGCAGCGACCCCTTCAAAACGGAACCGAACAACTGGTGTTGCTTGAGCTCTCTACCTTGGGGTCCACGAAAATAGGGGATCCCCAATATAGATCCCCAAGTGGTAGGATCCCCTCATAATAAGGACCCCAACTGTCTTCTGCAAGGAAGGGTCAACATCACAGCTCCCCAGTGCTACTCATGGCAGCGGATATGATGGTGGCTTGGCTGCCTTCGCAGCAGAGTAAGCTTTAGCTCGGGTGAGTTCAGGTTTCATAGTTTAATACAGGGGTCGGAATAATTTAGAATAGTATTCCCTTGTGGTCCCTACAGAATTAGACTATAATGTCACCCCAAAACCCGCATACCCCAAAACCCTATTCTAAGTATTAAGGCCTCAAGAGTAGGTCCATGCCTCGACAGGTGTATGCCTGCATGTTTCAGCTTACTGCCTTCATGGAGGGCATTGCAACGCAAGCTGCGGTTCCCGAGCCTTGGGAGCTGATTTAGATGTCAAGCCCCCTCCCAGGACCAAGAGTAGGCCCTTATTCCCCCCGGTTTTTGTTTTAAACAAAAAGGGCACACTTCTTACACCTAGGTTACCCTCCCTCCCCCCCCACCCCCTTCCCAAAGCCCCAATCTTCGATAATCGGTATGCCCTGTCTAGTACATGCTCTTGTATGTCATATGGGGGGTCTACGAAAATCACTGACCCCCTAATGTAGACCCCAAACAGTAGGCTTCCCTGATAGTAAGGACCCCAACAAGGTACCCCCTATATCATTCGGACAGCCCCCCCCATGTGCCATGACAGGACTTTTGCATACTAGAGTGGGGGGTTTACTTGGGGGGGCTTAGGGGCCCATGTGGGCAGTAAGTGTGCTTCCTCACCTGGGGATGGTGGGGCCTTCCCTCAATAGGGTTTCGGGTTTAGAATTGAGGGTTTAGGGTTTAGGGTTTAGGGTTTAGGGCTGAGTTGAGCAGGGCTTTCTGCACCCCAAGGGCCCCCTTCGTGTGCTGACAGCTCGACACGGTGAATTCCAAGCTGGCTCTCAGTAGGAAATTGGGGAAGTTGGCACCCTCGAATCCCTGCAACGGGTTAGATGGAAGATGTCGAAGATGCACATTGGAATGTAGGAGGTCGAGTTCCCTAATTCCCTACTGAGAACTAGCAAGATACCGGCTTGGCGTCGCTGCGCCACGATGAGGACAGCACCTTCAGCCTCGAAAACTTCATCGTTGTGCGGAATTTGGCCATTCAGATGCTCAGCTGGTCTGGGGGTTTGTGGCCAATAGGGCCTTAGAAGATCTTAGAAGGGTTTGTAGACTTCAAAGTTAGTGAACTTGGGCCTTGGTGCAGAGACTGGTTTGAAAAATGGCTTCCCCTAAATCTGAACCCCGTGTGTGTGTGTGTGTGTGTGTGTGTTTTTTTTTCTAATCCGTGGTGTCCCTTTGCGAGCACGGGAGAGTCCGTGCAGTCAGACCCGAAGCGCGGTGTGAGGCAGATAGAGCCTCCCACCCTCAAGCTTAAACCCCAACCTCTCAAGCCCTAAGCCCTTTCTCAGAAGAAAGTCCCTAAACCCTAAACCCTAAACCCTAGTACCAAGAAGACTAGAGACAGTGAAAGGATGCCCCGGGCTCTGGGCCCCTTGATGGCCCGCTGGATGATCGATGCCTTCGGCCGCAACTTCTATGCTCCTGGCCAGCAAGGGTTTTGGGGTTTTGGGTTTGAGGTTTAGGGCAGAGAAAAAAAGAAAGGGTTGAGGGTTTAGGGTTTAAGGTTTAGGGTTTAGGGTTTAGGGTTTAGGGTTTAGGGTAGCCCTGTTAACCTGCTGACCCTATAAGCCCTTCAAGCCTTGAATCCTCGCTTGCATACCCTAAAGGCCTCGTAGAGTCTTTAAAAAAGCCCCGGAGTTTTCCTGGTTTGAGAATGGCAAGGAAGGGTGCGGATCCTTTTGTTCGTGCTCAAAGGGCCGAGTGTTCTACAGGAGCCGGCATCTTTACTTTAAGGCTGTCCCCTGACAATACGCCTGTCATATCATAGGGTCACAAACTCCAAGATCCACACTTTTCACTAGAGAGCCCCCGAATGAGGCTGACTGTGTATGTTGCCAAGCGAACACCCTAAACCCTAAACCCCAAACCCTCCCGAAAGGTCTGGGGTTTCAACCTTTCGTTAGATCATCATTTCCGGTGCTAGCCCCTGCATTGTGACCTGAGTGTCAGCTAGGCGGGTGGCAAAAACACCCTAAACCCTAAACCCTAAACCCTAAACCCTAAACCCTAAACCCTAAACCCTAAACCCTAAACCTCCAGCGGACCGCAAGGCTGCCTTCATGCTTTGCTTGACGATGGCGGCGGTGTGGGCTGTCTGTTATGCGGCCAGCTATGCTAGGAAGCCAGGCCAGTTTACGAGTGATGAGGTGATCGAGGTGTCACCCAGCTCGGCAAAGGAAGCCTCCTAGCGTCGAAATTAGTGCAGGTTAGCTGTTGGCTCAGCCGCGCCAGTCTTGTAAGCTGGGTCGCGCGGTCGGTAGAACCGAGCCGAGCCATAGTCTCTTTGTGACTTAGTCTTTAAGTGTCACATGGTTGTTGCCCGCCAACTGAAAGACGGGTTGGCGCGCAGTGCAGCCAGCCTCTCTTCCAGGTCAAAGACCAGACTTGGTTGTCCTAAAACATGTTTGTGGGACTACCTGCGATAGATTCATGTCATGGTCACGCAACCTCAGTAAAATTCAGCCTGAGTCCCTGGCTACATGGAGCCCTCACCAGCTCTGATTCAGAAGTAGCAACTTCCAGCAGGAAGTTGCGCCTTCTCGCTCTAGGTACCTGAAGAGAGCCTCAATTTTTGCTCGGGGGCTTCCGAACTTCGGGGTACCTCATAGGGGGGGCCTTATCATATAAGAGGAGGGTTCTCTATCTTGGGTCAACCCCCACATACTCTTCATCCTGCCGGTCCCGACCTGCCAGGATCACGTGACTGAGATGGCCAACGCCCAGAGGCGAGCTGAGGCCGGTGGGGGCGGGGAACATTGGCCAGTTCCTCATGTTCGAGATCTAGATGCCCAGAAAAGGGTTGTCTGGAAATACGGTATGACGTGTGGTTGGGTCTCCCTATCAGGTATAAGTTCATCAAAGGGTGAAGGCTTAGAGTTCAGGGCCTCGGGGCTTGGGGTGTAGGGTCGGAGTGGGTTGACCCGATGCAGAGAGCCCGAAGCCCCAAAGGGGCTTTGGGACTAAGCTCTGTCCAGGATGTTGGCCGCAGTCTACAAGACCATCTGGACCAGCTTGCTGAGCTGCAACCTCGACAACCTCTCGTGCTGGGAGACGCGAACATACCATGTTAGTGTTTTGTTAATCCCAGTTGCGCGTGTTACCGGCAAGGTTCCCGACTGAATTCTGTCCAGCGCTACAGTCTTATGCTGGGACCACACAATGTAAGAAACGTGCCCATTCGACACTCCGCGAGCACCAGCTCATGCACTGCTGACTGCGAATCTGACATGATGCGTTATTTTCCTTGTGGCTTATTCGCAGGACCTGGTTGGGGATCCTTTCGGGGATGGTTGGAAAAGGCATACCTCGAATCAAACCGGCACTACGCATTCCTTCTAGGAAGGATCGGAGATTTAAAAACAAAGGCAATCCTGGCAAAGTCCTGATTCAACTACCATAGAAGGAAGCGGGAGTACTTATAGCTTAAGATTATACTCTGAAACCCGAAGCCTTCAACCCTAGAATCTTCGTAGCAGAAGCTCATGGGCAGAGGCCCTCTTGGGCCCAGGCTTGGCCATAAACCATAAACCCCAAACCCCAAACCCTAAACCATCCTAGACCCTAAAACCTAAACCCGAATATAGAGCTGCAAAAATCGGCCCAGGCTCCGCCGAACGCTGCGACAGGCGCAGGCCCGCAAGAAAGGAGATACCCCACAAAACCAGGTGGTAAGGGTTTAGGGATTAGGATTGAGGTTTTCGGGTTTAGGAGCTTACTGCCAAAAGGGTTGAGGGTGTTGACCAGCAGCTCCGAGAAAATGGAAACAAGAGCCCATGAGTCCATGCCAGGTGGACTTGGCAGAAGAGCTTGCAAAGGCCCAGGACCCGGGGGCCGAGATATAAGCTTGCTCAGCCTTTAAATTCTTAGTTGCTGAGTGAGTACACTTTTACACTTTTTGGGATACTCTAACCCCCCTATAGACCTGAAAGTGTACACGTTTTTTGGGGGGCTTATGAACTCAGCAGCACGTCTTGCGGGCCTTGTGGACAACAAAAAAGCAGCCTCTGTTCATCTTGTAGGCTGCCCCCTAAACCCTAAAACCCTTAAACGGTAACCGGATGCGTTGTTGATTTTGTAGGCTGATCAGCCTAGGGCGCCCATGCCCCCGATTGACGAAAGAGTCTGTTCCGCCAAATTCGGTGTGGGGTCATTGCTCTGCTTTCTTCGTGATTACTGGGATCATGATCATAATTGAGGCCATGTTGGTCTCCCTGAATCATTCTTCTTCTTATTCTGAGCATGAACCATACTTAATTAAGGGGGCTCTTTGGGCCCTAAACCCTAAACCTTAAACCCTAAACCCTAAGCGCTAAACCCTAAACCCTAAACCCTAAACCCGAAACCCGAAACCCTAAACCCTAAACCCTAAACCCTAAACCCTAAACCCTAAACCCTAAACCCTAAACCCTAAACCCTAAACCCTAAACCCTAAACCTACGGAAATCTGGAGCCGTGAGCCCCCGATGGGATCATGGGGTCTTGGCGGAAGGAGCTCGAGCACAAGCGGGATAATCTCCGGCAGGAGGAGGCCAGGGTTTAGGGTTTAGGTTTTAGGGTTTAGGAATTTGTGCTAAGGGTTCAGGGTTGAGGGGGCTTGAGGGGGTGTTTTAGGGGCGTTTTTAGGGTTAAGGGTTTAGGATTTTTGGTTAAGGGTTGCGGGTTTGGGGCCTGTGGGGGTGTTTTAGGGGCGTTTAGGGTTTGGGATTGGGAATTTGCGTTAAGGCTTGTGGGTTTGGGGCTTGGCGCTGAGGGTTTTGTGGGCCCGATGTTTCAGCCAAACTTAGAATACCTAAACCCTAAACCCTGTGTGCAGCCTTCAGTCATCTAGGCGGCAGAAACACCCTAAACCCTAAACCCTGGTCTTTTGCATGGATCGCGCGCGGCCCTCAGATCATGCAGCAGAAACCCTAAACCCAGTTGGCTGAAGCTCCTCTCGAGGCCGATCTTCAAGATCAGATCGCTCTTCGCGAGCAGGAATTTCAGGACTCCCTGAGTTTTATCCTGTTGGCTCAAGTGCAACCGGTCATGTTTGTGGAGAGTGTGTGTAGGGCTTAGGGTTTTCGGTTTAGGGTTTACGGAGGTAGGCGCTCATGAAGACTGCTGGCTCAGTGCTGCTTGGATCTGGCTAGCCCGCAAGCCCAGTTGCGAAAGGGTTTGCGGTTTAGGGTTTGGGGTTATATATATATATGTATATAAATACATACACACATTCTAGTATACGCGGATATGATACAGTGGACATGTACACTCAGCAAGTCACACGAGGGGCAAACTCGCACATGCAGCCCTCAGATACGGTGCGATGGTTCAAAAGAGCCAAGTCAAGGAACTGAACCCTAAAACCCTAGACCCTATCTAAGGGTAGTTGGACCACGGGTCCTAGATTGCCGTGGTGTTTTCGGCATTTTCGGCAATCTATGGCCTGTTTCGCGGGGTGGGGGGGGGGGGGAGGGGGATAAGAACGTCATTCATATAGCTTCCATGCACAACACTCTGGTATTTACGCCTCTTTGTACAACACACTGCGCAAGTTTGTGGAACAAGACACGTTGTCACAAGCGTCCATGCCAATTTCGACGATGCCCAAAACACTGGTATTTACCGCGTTTTTGCCTCGTTGTACGACATACCGCGCAACAATGCGGAGCAGGACACGTTGTCACAAGCGTCCATGCCAATTGCGACGATGCCCAAAACACTGGTATTTTCCACGTTTTCGCCTCGTTGTACAACACACCGCGCAAGGATGTGGAAGAAGAAAAGCTGTCACAAGCGTCCATGCCTTTGACTGAAGTACGATCTCATTTAACACCAAAGCCCCCAATTCAGTAAACATCGAAGTAGTTTTTGTACTGTTTTTTTGGGCATCTGTTTTAGGAATCCTCCAGAAACCCAGGTAAAACGGACGTTTTCGCACACCCAAACACCACGGCAATCTAGGACCCGTGATCCGGGTAGTTACATGGGCCCTTAATATGGGCCCCTTGGTTGTACAGGGTATATAAGTGGTATATAAGGGGCCCGCTTTTAAGGGCCCATACTACGGCACCATGTAACTACCCTAAGACCCTAAACGGTCCCGCAATCGAGGATCTCCGCTCAAATCGTGACGACATTGATCGCCAGCTGTCCCGGGCGCTTCAACTCAGCCTCAGTTTAGGGTTTTGCGCGACTTGTAGTCGCATTCAGCAGTTCAAAATTTGAGAATCTCCATCAGTCACGATGTGGTTGACTGACGATCCACCCCCCCCTCACCCGACATAAACCTTGGAGTCCTAGAGACCCCCTCGAGGCCAACCCCAAAGCTAAGTAGACCGGGGAAGAGGTCATTTCTGGGTCGGAAGCTCCTGTCTTGAGCTTCGAGTGGTGTGTACATCCGCTGCCATGTCCCAGCCAAAGGCTTCCATCCTTTAAAGTCCTTAAGTCCTTTAACGGGCGTCATTCATAGGAGCCACTTGGGATGTCCCCCCTTATACTAACAGTGCTTAATAGGGATTATAGTACCCCCCCCAGCCCCCCTATTACAATCCCTATCAAGGACTGTTAGCACAAGGAGGAACGTCCCAAGGAGCCCCCAAAGGAGTAGGACTTGAGCCCTATGGCTTGACGCAATCCTCCTCCAGCGCAGGGCCGAACACTCATGAATGCAAGGCCTCGGGCCCTGAACCGTCTCTTTATTCGAGGGGTTGAGGTTTAGGGTTTAGGGTTTAGGGTTTAGGGTTTAGGGTTTAGGGTTCAGGGTTTTAGGGGTTCTTGAGGGCCCTACTGGGCCAGCCGGAGCCATGCTTGACCTTTGCCAGCTCCATGGTCTGTGGCGTGCTTCGGCGGGTGCAGGGGCTGCACGCGCGGAGGCCATGCGCCAGAAAAGTATGGGCCCTTTTCCTGGTAGGTTCCCTTCGTAACCAATCCCAAAAAGGGTGCCTTTATGATAAAATGGGTACTTGTCTACCAAGTTTTGCGGCCCGTTTTGGAAATAGCTTCCTTGTAGTTTGGGGTTATGAAAAACCACCGGAAGCACTTTGGACACAAAACTTGGGGGGCTGATTATGGTGTGGGGCCAACCTGCAAAATTCGGATTTGCTTTCTTGCCATGTGGACGTGGATGGCCTGAAACCTAAGAATCCGATTTGCTCGGCTGGGCGCCAGGTTGGGTTTTAGCTTGCAACATGAGTCCCGTGGCAAAACTGTG